TTAAATAAAAAATAATGCATTATAAAACATGAATAAAAGAAAGTACGATCCTATTTCATGCTTTGTATTTAAATAAGCATGAAAAATAGGATGCTATAAAGAGATTCAATGCAACTATGATGTTATTTCTAACTTTTTAAAAAAGAAATACTGATGCTTGTAATAAAATCTTTATAATTGCATTATATTTTTACATACACACATGATCACATACATATACCATACAGTAGGATGCCATTATATACCTTTCATAAAAAGGTTTTATTTTTGTTCTTTAAATCAAATAAAGGTGCCATTTAAAGTATGGTGATATTTCTTACTTTGTGTTTTACAAAGGAATAAATATGATAGAGTTTTGGACTAAATAGGTGTGTTTTAAATTTTTATTTACCAAATAGGTGCAGATTCAAAAATATTTACCAAACAAGTGTAGTTTTAAAATTTTATATTTTTTAAACTTTCATTTTATTTTTACTTATTTTCTTTTAAATATTTTTTGACCTCTTTTTTTTTATAAAAAATTGCTATTTTTATCATTTTTTTTATAAACACCATTTCTTAAAATAATTTGGTAACGTAAAACAAAGATTGTGTCACTACATTTAATTTTTAAATTTTCCAAATTACCATACCGTTCTACAATTTTTTATCATCATCTCTAATTAGTATTTTTTTAATAACAATTTAATAACGTAAAACAAAGATTTTATATCATTCCATACTTAAACTTTTTAATTTTCAAAATTACAATATTGTTTATCAATTTTTTTTTCAATGTAAATTCCATGCAACAGTACTATGTTACCTGAACATTAACATAATGCAATTTAAATTCTATAATGATATCATATAGAAAAAAACCTCAGCAAATATATGAAGAGTTTAGAAAAATATCAACTACCTTCAATAAGTATTTCTTTAACAATTAATCACACCCTTTCATTAGATCTGAAAAAAAAAACCACAAACTATGAGTTAATCATGAATATATATATAACATAAAAGTTTAATTGAAGTTAAATAAACACCAATAATTATACCTAAATAACATAAAAGTTTGTTGGTGCAAATCCGATATCATTCATTCTTGATCTGCTTGCATTTCATATATACAATAGAATAAAAAATCACAAAATCAGAATTTTTATGTGTAAATAGATAGAAAAAGAAAATGCTGAAATGGTTCGTTCAATAAATAAAAAAGCAACATAAATATAACCTGCTAATATTCTAAAACACCAAGTAAAATCAGAGTTTCGTTCAACATCCATGGGATGCACCGTTCCAGTTTTTTGGACCTGAAAAAAACGATTTTTGTGGCTATTGGAGTTTGTTCATTATTATGGAGAAGAAAACTGAAAAATCAAACCAAGTTAGAAAAAAAAAACGAACCTTTCTCTCGTTTGTACTGCACGATCGAAAACCTCAAGATTGTATGAGCCCTAGCACATGGAATCGCAAGCAACACCAAAATCGGTTAAAACAGGACAAAAGGTACGCGATTTTGGCGATCTTTTTGAATTATGGAGAACAAAACTCAAAAACCGAAACAAGTTATAAAAAAAACGAACCTTTCTATCGTTTGTTCCGCACAATCTTCGAAAACTTTTGGATTGTATTAACCATAACACATGAAATCGAAACAAACAAGCAAAATCGGTTAGCACAGGACAAAAGGTAGGGGATTTTGGCGATTTTTTGCGGCTAAGGGCGTTCGTTCGAAATTCTGGAGAACAAAACTCAAAACAAAAAACCAAAATCGAAACAAAAAACCATCTTTAAACCAAAATCGAAACAAAACTCAAAAAAACGAACCTTTCAATCGTTTGTTCCACACAATCTTCGAAAACTTCGAGATTGTATAAACCCTAGCACGTGAAATCGAAACAGACAAGCAAAATCGGTTTGCACAGGACAAACAAAAAACCATCTTTAAACCAAAATCGAAACAAAACTCAAAAAAACGAACCTTTCAATCGTTTGTTCCACACAATCTTCGAAAACTTCGAGATTGTATAAACCCTAGCACTTGAAATCGAAACAGACAAGCAAAATCGGTTAGCACAGGACAAACAAAAAACCATCTTTAAACCAAAATCGAAACAAAACTCAAAAAAACGAACCTTTCAATCGTTTGTTCCACACAATCTTCGAAAACTTCGAGATTGTATAAACCCTAGCACGTGAAATCGAAACAAAAAACCAAAATCGGTTATCACAGGACAAAATGTAGGGGATTTTTGCGAGTGTTTTTTAGGCTGATGGGTTCCAAGTAGGTAACTCGGTGGTTGTAACGACGTTGGTGACGATGGGTAAGGGTATTGAGTGAGATTTAGATGGCGAATGGATTAAGAGAGGAGGAGGAGAGATCTTTGGCTAATTCATGATAGGGTAACGGCGGAATGAGAAAGGAAAGAAGATTAGGTTGTAAATTAGGGCATAATGGATACAAGGATCCGTGTATTTACTTTTCTTGTTTCCTATTGGTTCAAACAATTTCACACGGATTGCAAATATCAAAATCATGACCCTTCATTTTAGATCCAAAGGTCCATAATTGATTTCCTTGATTTTTATGATAAATGTCTTAAACTATAGAGGGCCCACAAAGATAAACTCTTTATAAGATGGTATATATATATATATATATATATATATATATATATATATATATATATATATATATATATATATATATATATATATGTTTTGGTTGTTTAAATTGTTAAAGTGGTAAGTTTAGGATTTGTGAAATTGTTAAAGTGGTTGAAATTAATATGTTTAGCTTTGTTAAATTAACTTGGTTATGTGTTATGAGAAAAGTATGTTGCTAGATATAAGGAGGCTGCTATTATTGATGGAAAATGTAAATATGTTGCTATTATGGACAATAAATGTAAATATGTTTCCTATATTTGGTAAAAATAGTAAACAATGTTGCTATTATGGATAATAAAAACAAAGTATGTTGTTATTATGGATAAAAAAATAATTGTGGAGATAGTTTTCCCTAATAGTATTGTTTGATTTAACATTTTTTTTGGTAAAACGAGTACATACATTAGCTAATATTGTTTGCTTTACCATTTTTTTATATATGGGACTTGCAAACCCGATTCGATGAGTCTGAAGCCCGCCATCAACAGGAGTTGGAAGAATTTCGAAAAGAACGTGAGGAATTCAATGAACGTCAAGAAACTATGGAAAAACGTATGGAAGAACTTTAACAATTAGTGTTTAGGGTTTAGTATTTGTAGGTCTTGGTATTTGAAACTTCCCATAGATTAAGTTTATGGATTTGGTAATTGAAACTTTTGTGGATTTGATATTTGAAACTTTCTAGATTAAGTTTATGGATTTGGTAAAAACGTATGGAAGAACTTTAACAATTAGTGTTTAGGGTTTAGCTGCAAAATTTTTGATTTTGTGTAATTTGTAAATATATAGTTTTTGAAATCTATTATGTTACCCACAGACCATCTACATAATCGCCCAAAAAGAATATTTGTGGAAAATCCGTGGGTAAACAATTATGTGGAAAATCTGCGTGTAAACATCCGTGGAAAATTTGTGGGTAATAGAGTCGTGGAAAAGATGTGGGAAATCTTTTTTTGGATACTCCGTGGGTAATCTAGTCGTGGATAAGCCGTGGGAAACTTTGCTCGTGGATAAATTGTGGGTAATTCTGTGGTAAATCTGTGGGTTAATATGTTCGTGGATAATCTGTGAGTAATTCTGAGGATAATCCGTGGGAAAACATTACCCACGAGCTTTTTCCCACGAATCTGGTTTCGTGGAAAATCTGTGGATAAAGACCATTACCCACTGATTACCCACAAATAGGGTCGTGGGTGAAGGTCTTTTTTGTTGTAGTGAATCGACCGATATGAATTTCGGTTGATCCGTATACTGATAAGTTGAAATATTAGAAAAAAAATAACTTCCTCTTATGAAGTCAGATTTAAACGTTCTCTATATGTATAAAATCATTATTATATATACTATAACTTTGGTTAAGATGATGTATGCTAAATTATCTTTTAACAAAAAAAGTTATATATTTAACGTTTATTATTACTAGCTCGAATATGTAGGTGTTACACGACACGACGTTGTGTGTTTTTTTTTTTTCAAGTGATACGAATACGAATTCAAATTTCAGTTTTGTCCAAATTTTATTTTACATCGTGTATTTTTACAGCATCAATTGTCACCCATACTTTTATTATGTTTTACATCCATGGATCATTAAATGCATTTTCATTTAATGAAGCCATGGCATCAAAGGGTTACCTGGTAACTACAAAAAATAATAATAATAAGTTTGTTTTTTTTAATTAATTAATTTATTTATTAAATATATGTTGTTAGAATACGGAAAAGTAAAAATATTAGATCATTTATTAAATTAACCCATTTTTTATTTTAAAAAATCCACACAATATAACCTTATCCAATTAGCTAATTACCTATTATCGGATTTCAGTTTAATCAAATCCAAATTGACTATTCTGTACACCAAAAAAAAGATCAAAGTTATCTAAATAAAATTTAATCTATTTAATACTAATTCAGTTGTTAATAACCGAATGATAAAAGTATAAAAGTTTATAGCTCTATGATTTCAAGTTTCGCATATGTAGAAGATATTTTTCGTTCCACACATTATCCAATTCATTCTAAACTCTTAGGGATACTAAAAATAAATATTCAAGTACCATTGTGTTGTAATATTTCTTTTAATTTTTTTTTAAGTATAGTATCTTGAAATCTTATCCATTTCGTTCCATATTACATCCATGAAAATGTTGGAAACTGAATCTCATAATTGGTATGGATAGTATTAATTCTTTTTTTTCAAGATTTAATAAATCTTCAAGAAAAATAAGCTTAAGTATCATCTTATCTTGTCTTCAACGACATGTATAAATATAGTGTCCAATTCGTATGATTTTGATTTATTCAAAGCTTTTCATCTTCTTAATTACCTCCTTATAGTCATGGTAAGTAAAGCTTAATGAGTTCATCCTATTATTCCAAAACTTTATTGAAATAGTTATAATTAATAATCACTTATATTATTATTATTTCTCGAATGCAGGCTATTGGCAAGACGCTTCTGACTACATGCACCCTGATGATCATTGGATTCATGACTACCACGCAACCTCAAAATGTAGTTAGTTTGGAAATTGATGTTAAGAGCTTTGGAGCTGTAGGAGATGGCATCACCGATGATTCTTTGGTAAACTACAACTTTTATATATACACGTGCGATTTTGAGGCACTTTACTTTTTATAAATTTTATATAAGGTACGTACGTACGTATGTCATGTTCTTATAGGCGGTTGCCCAGGCATGGGATGCAGCATGTAGTTCGACCGGACAATTTAAATTATCTGCCGGAAACTTTGTTGTTCAACCATTGTCTTTCTCGGGTCCATGCAAAGCTCCAACTGTTGTCGTCACTGTAAGTGTAATTAATGAATATTAATCAATTTGTTATTATAGAATTCATGGGATCTTAATTTTGATATGTTTGTAGGTCGTAGGGACTCTTGAAGCACCACCGAAGAACAAGTGGATTAATAACACCGATACTTGGCTTAACTTTCAACACATTGATAATCTTGTTATAACTGGACCTGGACGATTTGATGGTGAAGGGCAGTCTGGTTGGTGGGACTCTTGCAAACAGGTCATGACATCTTTTTATATATTACAATGCAAAAAACAGCAATATATTTTCAATATTCAATTGTTTATTATTTAGATATATATATGGATCTCTTATATGTTTATTATAACGAAATACTTGAACAAATCAATCCAATTTTAACCTTGGAAATTAACTGTGTTCTTCATTCAGATTACCTTATACTTTGATTGATTTTTCATATTAGAGTATTGCAATAACAATAAAGGAAAATGTAAATGATATGATCATAAACAAACAAGTAAAAATTCCATTATATATTTACCCCTATTGCTTAACATTTAAACCTTTTTAACTATATATTGACGTACTGTCGTTTGTTTATGTATTTCAGACTAAAACTTGTGAAAATAACCCCACGGTAAGTGACTCGCTTTTGCAACATCCGAAACAAATTAATTTATTATTTTATTTATCACATACTCGATCGATTTATTTTTTCTTCTAGGCTCTTGGATTTCATAATTGTAATGGCCTTAACCTCACCGGTGTAACCTCTATCAATAGCCCGAAAAATCATATATCTATAAATGGTTGCAATGGAGCCATCATCTCTAACATCAGCATAACCGCGCCAAAGGAGAGTCCCAACACCGACGGCATTGACATATCTGATTCAAGCGGTGTTCATGTCACTGGTGGAAACATTGGGACCGGTACAGATTTCTTGTTGTTTTCAAAAACTAACTTATATCTATATATATGAAAATAATGTAGATAGAAATTAGGATAAAAATGTGCTAATTATACGGATATCATTTAGAAGACAATGGGCTACTCCATCTTCAAACTATAAAATCTTACTAAGACAAAAAAATTTGTAAGTACCATCTTGTAATATAAGGAAATGAAGGTAGAATGCTATGATACATTAAATTATTAATGTATGTTGTCTTTTCTTGCATTTAATATTTTTACTTCATGAAAAGTATTGTTTCTAACACTGTTTTTATTGTTTAGGGGATGATTGTATCGCAATCAACGGTGGTAGCTTCAACATCACTGTTGACGGCCTATTTTGTGGCCCAGGCCATGGCATAAGGTTTGATTAACAACATTCGATCACAACTTAGTCATTAATATATTATATATCATGGTTGTATATAATATAATTATATCCTGATTTAATTAATTACAAAGTTTCTTTTTGTCAAGTGTTGGAAGCCTAGGGAGGAATGGTGCCACTGAAATCGTAAGCAATGTCACAGTTGCCGGCATCACTTTCTCTGATACTCAAAACGGAGTTCGTATTAAAACTGTGCCGGTATTAATTAAATTCTAAATATTAACTCCGTTTTAACCCCATTTAAAAAACTCAATATTAATCTTAACAGTGAAATTGATTCTTTGGTCGTTTGTTTCTTTTAGGGAGGATCCGGATCTGCAAGCCTAATAACATTTAGTAACATACAGATGAGGTGTGTCCAACATCCGATCATATTAAGTCAATTTTATTGCCCTCATATCGATCCTACCGAATGCAAAGATAACGTAAATTATTATATCTCGCTAAATTTTTATTCTTTTTGTTAATTGAACCATTCATTTACGCATGCATGTTGGCTTTTTTGGCTATGAACAGCCACCTGTAGTTGAAATAAGCGGTGTTACGTTCATGGATATTAATGGAACTTCTTCAACACCTGATGCAATCGACATTAACTGCAGCAAAAATCCTAAGACTTGTGCAGGCATCACCCTTGAGCGGATCAACATACAACCAATCAACTCATCCGTCAAAGTTGCATCGACTTGTAAAAATACTCAAGCTCGCATTATGGGGCCCGTGTTTCCTCCTGTACTTTGCACTCAGCCGAGCTTTATCATGATGCTTTTGGATCTTGATTATAACAAGAAGACCGTGCATGAAATAGCAACAAACTAAAAACCTTATTGCTGAGTTGCGTAGTCTTAAATTCTACTCTGCACATAGAACTAGATTTGGTTTTTATATTTTTATAGATATATAGATGATCGCTTGCATATGGAATAGCTAATCATCAACATTGGTGTTTTTGGAGTAAACTTCATGAATATAAATAAATTTCTTATAACGTAATAGCCTAAAACATCCTCTGATCGTATAGTCCCGATAAAAACATTCCACACTCATTTTGATTGATCAAGAATTTTAATCTATAGAAATAACAGATCACTAAATGATATTTGTTGTCTTTTTAACTTAAAATCTGGTTAATATGTTCTTGATGATAAACAAAATAAATATTAATTAAATAATAACATAATGTTTTTATATCCTTCTCCAGGGCTACGGTGGTAGTGTCCGCATAAAACTTTAATTATCTAATGAGTAATTTAGCAATAAAAATTACTTTTTTATTATACTAGTGATCCGCGTAAAAAGCAGGGAAAGATATAAAAAATAGGGAAATGACATATATGCCCTATTATGTTTATAGTGTTACCCATTTTATTTAGCACTTAACTTATTTTGTAGCTTTATAATGGAACGAATTACACTTTGTCGGGTCGATTAGGTACTTTTGTACAAAATGAAGGGGTCTTCAGGTTACCCTTTACCACATCAGATGTGTGTTGACCAATTATTCATTAACCCATTACTATTCATCTTCTTCGCCCCACTTTTTTTATTTCTAAATCGTCCAATAGAGAGCCTTGTTATTGCCGTTCTGTTGTCGGATCGACAACTTCTCGTCTCCTATCACAACAAAAAATGCAGCCTTTAGCGGCGACAAAAGGCTACCAATGGTCATGTAGCAATCATTTTAGCCTTGGGTTTGGTGACGTCGGGATTCGATGCATGGAACCGATCGGGTAGATCAGAAAATTGTTAGAGTCACAGTGGCATGATAACTAGTTGCAACTAGTTCCAGAGAAGGATTTCGTTCAGAAGTCGTGTGAGGCGACTAAGTGGGAGTCCTTTGGCTCCGCAGACGGGCCGGAACCCGGTATTTCAGATGATTGGTGAACGAATTGAGACCAGGGAGGTCTCGTTAGATTTTGGAAAGCAGCCATGTGGCAACATACTGCTTCAGGCAGTTCAATGTTCGGGCAGTTTCAACATTTGGGCAGTATTGGTATTTGTGTTTTGGGTTGCAAGTATGGACGAAACAATGGATTCCTTGGGATATGCTAAGTCAATCGCAGCGGGATTATCTGAGCCTTAGCCAACTATAAATGATATGCAAGGATATTTGGGTCTGTGGCCCTGTTTTATAGTGGGAACCGCGAGTGATCAGAAGTTAAGTAGTCAGTTGTGGGATAAACGGACTAGATTCAACGATAATGATTCTGTACGAGTGGTCTGTCAGGGATCCAGACCATCTCGGGACAGCGGATTCCGGACATAGTACATATGATGTTGTTGCGAGGAACTCATTCACTTACGGATTTTAGGGATTACGAAGATTGGTACCGACTACCCTGAGAAGGCTAGGGTGTGCCTAGGGTGGTGACCATGTTACTAGAATGTTTGGGCGTGTAAGAAATTATAAGGAATGATTTCGAGGACGAAAGCTAATTGAAGTAGGGGAGAGTTGTAACACCCCATTTATTAAATAGAGAAATAAATGAATTAATGAACGAAGAGTAGCCCTAAAATAAATAATTATATAACAAAGGATGGTCTCGAGGGGATAATTGCCATAAATTTAGAAGTTGAGAGCTGAAGGGTAAATTCTGGACCTTAATTGAAAAGAATTTGTCAAGCAAGGGGCGGTTTTGTAAATTTTGTATTAGTTTTGTAAAGATTTTAGAAGATAAGGGCAGTTTAGTAAATCCGGACTTATTATGAAAGAAATTTATGGATTCAGGGTTTAAATGGTAAATATTGGCCTTGCTTTGATAGAAAATGTGAAGGGAGGGACTGTTATTGTTAATATGGCAAACATTTAGATGGAGCGGGTATTTATGGGTTCAAAACCCTACCCCTAGGAACGGGAAGTCAGCCGCCAACATCACCTTGTATCCCCTCCACCCGACCTCTGCCTCCAGCTTCCTTATCGCCACCTTGCGCCACCAAATCACCAAGGAAACACCACCTCGGTTGGGGTTCCAAACCACCGGAGCAACCAACTCTCGCTCACCCTAACGCCGGGGAAATGAAGTCGCGAGCCCGCTACCGCCGCCCACTCGCCATCAGACGCCATGACGCCGCTGTTACGTTGAGCATTGCTGCCATCGCAGCTCCGCTACCGAAAACGATATGTTCGGCCGGGTTGGCCGCCAAGATCGAAGACGAAGTGAGCATTGTTTCTGCGAGAGTCGGAAGCGACCGGAATCTGCTGGTAAGCCCATCTGCCACCTTCCCATCTCTCCTCTCCTTCGCTATTCTCGGCGTTTTGGCACCGTATACGTCGGTTGTTGCCGCCGGCAACCCTTTAGTCGCCGTTTTAGGCCGCTGCCGCTATTGGTCGCCGTTTCTGCGACATTACGGCGATGTCCTGCCACGTTGTGGGTGGCCGAATGAGTGAGTGTTCGCCGTTAGGGGTTGTTCCAAAAGCTAATAGTAAAGCATATATATTTTGTGGGCAGGAATCAAGAGACCATCGCCACCACCGTGAGGTGGTGGCTGCCATCCCAAATTCGCTGCTGTCACCGCCAAGAGCCACCAGGTGGGTGGCTGGAATGTCTAGTGCAACATGAAGTGTGTGAATGTGTGTTTGGTGTAGTTGGAAGACCGAGAACCGCCACTACCACCACTCGCCACCGCCGACCACCACAAGGTGGTTATGTGTGTGTATTTAGCATTAGTGTGTGTGTTTATTTTGGTGATTGGCATTGTAAATTGTAACAAAAATGGAATAATGGAAAGAAATGTCAAAACCACCACCGTGAGGTAGTGGCTGCCGCCTCCTGCCGCCACCGGCCGCCGTGTCAGGTGGCGGTGTGCTTCGCCTTGTTGTGTTTGATTAGTTTGGGGTGTTGGAAACCCTAATGGGCACAATAAAGCCCTAATTGACCTAAAAGACCAAACATGTGACTAATGGGCCTAATGAGACCCTAATGGGCCTAAGGAACCCTAATTGGTCAAAGGACCTAACTATTGGGCCTATTGGGCTAAGATGGGGTTGGAAACCCTAATTAGGGTTTAGAAAACCCTAATATAGGATATATGGGCTTTCGATTGATCAGGAACCACACTAGAATCATTTACTAAATTAAAATATAAATTAATAACCAATTGTAATTAACCTAAGGCCATATTGGACTTAATGCATTAAGTCATTAATGAGTTAAGTGAGGAACACTTAACCCTAATCATCATTTTATGTGAAAACCCTAATTTCACTTGGGTTTATTGTTGGGCCTTTCTATTGGGCCTTGATGATTGGGTAATTAGCAAATGGACTAGAATAATTAATGGGCTTTGAGGTAAGTCCCATATGAGGGTGTGGGCCCAAGTTGGAAAATTGGGCCATAGATGGGCCTTAGTTGCGCCTTAATGATTATATGATATTGGACCATTAGAATGTCAAATCTTGGTCTGGAATAAATGGTTGGGCCTTAGAGTGAGACCATGTAAAGGTTTGGGCCTAATTGGGAAAATTGGGCCATATATTGGGCCTTGATTCACAGATTGACCTTTGGGCCTTTGGATTGGGCCTTGAGCTTGAATCAAGCTAAGATGGGGGTAAAGTAGTCTTTTACCCCAAGCATGGACTTATGATTTCTGTGTTGGGACCCAATTATTAATTGGGTGATGTTTGATATTGACAGTTCGAGAATCTGTCAACCAGCAGCTGGGATTGGGTCTACGGGACTTCAGCAGTGTGAGGTGAGTTACCTTCCAGTAGCAGTGGGTCTACAGCCACAATGCCGGCCCACCAGTAGGAGTTGTATGTTAGATGATTGTCTTTGTGATATTCATCTTGGTTTGGTACTACCTGATATGTTTATGTGCTAGCATGATATGTTATATGTGATAGTGGTAGTAGGAGGGGAATAGTCCCCAAGTTCAGTTGTTAGGACCGAAGAGTAGGTCGGGCACCCCAAAATTTGCTGACAGTATGTTTATGCTATGATATTATGTGGTAGTAGTATTAGGTGAAATAGTCCCCGTATGTCGGTCATCAGAACCGACGGGTAAGTCAAGCACCCCAAAACGGCTTGACCTGGATAGGTAAGGCACCCCAGAATTGTCTGGCAGTATATGTGTGTTATATTATTACATGGTAGTGGTAGGGGGTGAAATAGTCCCCGGTAGTCGGGTGAAGTAGACCGACAGGTAAGTCAAGCACCCCAGAATGGCTTGACCTGGGTAAGTCAAGCACCCCAGAATGGCTTGACCTGGGTAAGTCAGGCACCCCATAATTGCCTGACAGTATGTTATTGTATGGTGTGTGGTATGATGGGGGAACTCACTAAGCTTCGTGCTTACGGTTTACAATTTTGGTTTCAGGTACTCGTTTTCAAAGGAAAGGAGCCGGCTCGATCGCAACGCATCAGACTATGGTTTTCCGAACATGAGATCTTTGGGATTACACTCTGATATTGTTTTATGATAACATATTTTGATTATTTCTACTTTGGTTTTGACATGACATGATATTATGGATGTTTTCTTTTACTGTTGGTTTTATAATAACCTATTTAAAAATGAAAATTTTAGCCTCGAATTTTGGGATGTTACAAGTTGGTATCAGAGCCTTGGTTTGAGGGAGTTGGGCACACTCTCGTGTGTGTCTGAACTCAAACTAAGGACTTGGTATGAAATTTTTCAAAAGTAAAATCACTTTATAAAAAGAAGTTTGAAAAGAGAAAAGAACTTTGAAAAGAACAAGGTGTGTGATGCGTGCAATTAGCCAAGCTCAAGTAAGTTTTCCCCAAGATACCCATACATGTTATGATATGTTATGATATGATATGATTATGAGAACTACATGCTAGATTAGGGCTAAGGAT